GCAATTGAAGCATTCAACTGGAAAAAATAGACTGTAAAACTGCTGACTATTGCAGTTGGTGGAACCCCAGTTTCCTCCCCCCATGAATTTTTTTAAAAAAGAAGCTTTTACAGGTGGCTGGATTATATGCAGCAAACAGCTAACTAGTGAGCTAATAGCTAGGAGGAGCTGGAATCAATGTAAATACCTATTGAAGGCTGAATTCCTAAATACATTTTCTACGAGGGGGATTGAATCAAATGGGGTTTGTGTTTGAGGATACATACTTGCTCATGGGAATGGAAACAGCGGGATTGTTGTGGGAGTATATGGCATTATACTAAGTGCTGTGGAGAACGCAGTTTTAATTCTGCTGCCAGATGATTGCAGAAGAGCGATGCGTCAGCAGTGCTAAGGAACCTGGTGCGAAAAGACCCAATTTGTTCATTCAGTGGTATTCATTCGCAAAGCTTATTCATTGCAGATGTATGAAATACTTGAAGCAGCAGATAACGAAACAAAGAACTGGAACAAAGTGTCAGTTACAACAATGGGTGGTTTGGTTTTTTTACAGAAACGACTTCAGAAAACGTTATAGAATAAACCTAAATGTTTTGTAGCACTGTTATTTGTCTTACTTTACTAGAAGTGGTGCTGCCCCAAGTTTTTAAAAGTTTAGCAGTTGCTCTTGGTCCTACTTTCCTATGAAGGATAGATGAGATAATAAACCAGTGGCTGGACTGTGACATTTCGGACTGTGGACGAGGGCTCGTATGACGGAGCCCTCCCCCCATCAGAAATAAATTCTTACACCCAAGAAATCTAGCCAGTTGGGAGCTAGACATCTAGTTTTCTTCATTCAAGGAACTGTTTTCAGCCAGGCAAACCGTCTGGAGCACATCTGCTCACAGAACAGGGAAGAATTGCCAGCCACCTGCAGTCCTTGTGACACACGAAATTCCTGTGAAGGAGTTCCGTCAGGAGCAGCTTTTTAAATGGGTCAGATGGCCTTCAAGGAGAATGTTAGGGAAGCCCAAGGAAACAGCATCAGACTCTCCAGGGTTCCACTGTAGGGAGGAGTGATCAAACATAAACAGGTGCCATTTTTTTAGCCTAAGGGTAATCTGTGAGAAACAGGCCACCTTTACACCTATAACGCATCTTCACTTATGCATGGTGTATCCTTTTGTCTGTTTCCAATTTTAAATATTATGACCTGTACATTTTCAGCACAGTATCTCATACAGTCTGTTGAAAATATGTCTTTTTTCATAGTCTTTTAGATCACACTTGTTGACAGGTACTGCTATTGAGATTTAGGTATTAACTCTTAATTATTCTCTAAGGTCTTCTTAGCACATACACTGAACTCATTCTGACAGTTTTTCTGTTAGTATTTGAGCCAGCTGCTCCCCAAAGTGTTTTTCCTGCCTGAAGGTCTCTGGTTTTGCTTCTTGCAGCCGAATTCTGACCATGGTTTTAAGGAGAACATGAAACTAGAAGCTGTGAATCCACAAGACCCAGAAGAAATTTGTGTTGCTACCATTACAAAGGTGAAGGATTCCTATCTCTGGCTGCAGCTAGAAAGTAAGTTGTTACAGGAGGACAGACTTTTTACATTTGGCTTACCTTTCTCAGTCACGTGTTAACACAACTGCCTGGTTTGAGTGTCATAAATCACATGCAAGCTGCATGACCAGAAGAATGTGTGAAATTGAATATGAATGAACAGATGGCTTAACACATATGTTTGCTGTCGCCGTTGTTAAAGTCTGTGCAAAAGACCACTGAATATTTGGACCCTACCCAAGAATAGTGACTTTCTAACTCCAGTTGAAAATGCCTCCCCAGATGCCGTTTCTGGGGAACAGAGGATCCTAAGGAACAGCATGAGGGAGACATGTGGGGCTGCAGTGGGAGGGAGGTGGTGAGGAAATCAAGATCTGTGAGCAGAAATCCTTCCATTCATGTATGTGCTGTAAGACAGTTGGGACTGGACACACATGAGAACATACAGCCGACTTCATGTTCTCTGTGTGTATGTCTGTGTGTACATAAACACACAAATATATAAATGGAACAATAATAAAAAGATCAATTCTAAAAATGAAGAAACAAACAGATAAAAAACACATGTTAAGTTGGCTGTATGTTTTGATGTGTGTCCAATCCGAATAATCAGTTGATTTGACTAGCCCTGTAACCTTTTGCTCTTTATTTCAACAGACTCTAAAGTGCCGGCCCATGAGTGCATTGTGAGTGTAGAATCTATGAATATATTTCCAGTAGGTTGGTGTGAAACTAATGGATATCAGCTCAGGCCTCCTCGCAGAGGAATAGGTATGAATAATATGATTACTTCAATTGGATGGGATGGAATATATTGTGCAACTTATTAGGGTATCATGCTTCAGAGTTCTGTCAGTATATGCTAGTAAGTCAATGTTAGTACTTTGGTAATAAAATAGGATAGCCCTATATAAAGAACAAGCTTTTAAGGAAGGCAAGGTGTGGTGGCCATCTGGTAGAGCCCTATATAACACAAGAACAAGTTTTTAGGAAGGCAAGGTGTGGTGGCCATCTGGTTTGCAAGACATTAGCCTTTTGTTTGTGAACCTCTTCTCATTTGGGTAAATGCTCTTCATCAGTTTTTTTTTGCCACTCCTGTCCAGTTCCAAAACACTATATTGTTCCAAGAGGACAGGGTGAAGTTGAATACTGTAATTCTAATGGCATTGTCAATAGATGCATGCGCACAGCACTGTCAGCATATATGTGATGATATTATGAGCTGAAAGCAAATTCAAGGGAAATGGTGACCTTTTTTTCCAGAGCTGTTCAAGAAAGTTCATAAATGCTGGGCAGATTCCAAATCAAGATGGCAAACTCAGTTCAATACTAGTTTTAGGGAGTTCTAGATTACCAAGTATTAATTTAAACTTGATCAGTTACAACAAAAGTTTCAAAGAGTTTCAAGAGAGTTCATAGATTAGTAGGGGATTGACATTAAAGAGAGTATTTAAGCTTGGTTAGCCTGGTACTGTGATTAATAGGAATTTTGAGAATAAGGGGTTAAGAGAGAGAGAACTTTCTGCACTCACACTTGCAAAAAGGTGCTTGCTTTGTGGGCCAAATGATTTCATCACAAACAGAATCAAAGTGAGAGTTTGATCAAGAATAAGGATCTAATATAAAAACTCTTGTGCATGTTCCAACAAGCCTAGCCTGTTCATTCCACAAACTGTATTCTGTACTAAAGAATGAATTCAGAAAATATACAGATTGGTATTTCAGGCCAGTTTAAGAGCTGCAAAGTATACAGATTGGTATTTCAGGCCAGTTTAAATAAATTATTGCTATATCACTAATAGAGAAACCAGTAATACATTGCGCCTTTTGAGGAGATTTACTAGAACTCAGCTGAATTTTGTGTGTTTCAGTTTTCATCTCCATCTTCACACTTTTGGGAACCGTTGTCAAGCCTCTTAGTGTAAATCACATGAATATGAAAGATGTTTATTGCCTTTTCATCCAAGTCCCAGATTCCACTCACTGCTCAGGGGCAATCATGCAAAAGACGCATTTTTACAGCAAAAGGAAGTTCTCCTTTTTTCGAGGATTTGGCTGAAAAAAATAGTTGATATTTCAAATGGTAGTAAGATTCTGACCAAAAGATGGAGTAGTTGTTCAACACTAGCAGAAGTAAAAACAAAACTGAAAAGACAGTTTTGTCTCAGCTCAGCTTTAGTAATTAAGGATCCACAGCATTTGGTGTGTAGTATATAAACATGTGTGTTTAGACTATAGTTAGTAGGGATTGGCACAGACCAGGAAAGCCCAGGTTGGTCTGGGGCTCACGAACTGAGTGGCCCCAAACTGAACCCCTGAGCAAAAAAAACACCTGAACTGGCGTTGGGCCCCACTCCTGGCATGCCTGCATTACCTGGAAGTGATGCGAGCTTGTCGGCGATGTACTTGTGTCACTTCCAGATGATGCAGGCATGCTGGGTCAGGGCACAATGCCACCCAGAAGTGGCATACCAAACATGTGAGCCAAACTGAGCAGAAAAGCTCGGTGAGTGTTCATGAGAAGGCACCTTCCCCAAACCTCAGCTCGCGAACTCCGAACCAGGCAAAGTCTGGCCTGGACTTTGTAGTATTTTTGCACATTTTCAGAGCTAAATTGGAAATTATAAGGCCAGGAAGGAGAAAATCTTGTACATCAAAACTGAAATTTGTGTGTGGGGGTGCTCAATTCCTCTTGTGTTTGTTAAGAAATTAGTGTCTAATGTTCTGGGCAGTTGTCAGATATGCCTGTGATCTGTGTAGCCTGCCCAAGTGAATGTTGTGATTTGATTTTTTTTTTGGCATGTGGACAGTTGTGATGTAAAAGCTGTAGTAAACTTTGTATTAGTTACTCATTTGTGGGTTATCTTGATTAACAGTGAACAAGGAGAAGAAAATTGCAGTGGTCCAACCAGAAAAGCAGTAAGCATTAAATGTATCACTCATTGATAATGCCACATTTTTTAAAAACCTTGACATCACTTTAAGTTTACTAGAGCTCAGTTACATTTATGGTGCTTCCGTGCATGGGATGTGCTGTGCTGTGCTGTGGCTCTGAGACAGAAGCCAGGCTTTTCAGAACATCCCCATGACATTGTCCCCCATCTGTGCTCCATCTGTTACATTGCATCATTTCCCAGGGTTTGCTCCAGTGTTTCCAGAACCTGGTTTGCTGCGATGTTTCTGGAAACATTAGAGCCAAAATGAATTTTCCAACAATGTGGGTAGGAATGTCCAGATTTCATAATCTCTCTGCCCACATCCAGTGCCATTTCCTCACCATCATCACCACCAGTGGGCTTTTTACTAGCTTAAAAAAAAATCAGTATATATTACTATATTGCCTTACTGATATACCCAGTACATTTTTTTTTTATGACTGGCCAAAGCCCTCTGTTCGGGCAAGGTGGGTATGAGCAGATTGGAAGCAAAGCTCAGAGAATTGTCCCATGCGGACTCCCCTTTGCTCCTCTGATTGCCACAGTGGCAATGAGTCCACAATGGAAAATGAACCTTTCATGGAAGCATCTTGAGTAGAAAGGTTGAAAAAAAACATTTGCTGGACTGGCAACCAGCATTCCCTCTAAGCTGAGTTAGTGTCTGAGCTCAGGAAGGATGGCTCCAGAGCAAACTATGCAGCAGGAAAATCGCTCGCTCACAACTTTAATGCTAGTCACTCACAAAGTAGAATTTTTGCTTACAGGACTCCATTACAGGGAGCATTGCTGGCAAGAGAAAGTTGCATTGAATTTTTCTTCTTCTGGAGAAGACAGAAAGAGATTGGATTTATAACCCACCCTTCAGTACCCGAAGGAGTCTCAGAGCAGCTTACAATCCTTTTCCCTTCCCCTCCCCACACCCTGTGAGATAGATGGGGCTGAGAGAGCTCTCTCAAGAACTGCCCCTGAGAAAACAACTCTGAAAGAATTTATGACTGACCCAAGGTTACACCAGCAGCTGCATGTGGAGAAGTGGGGAATCAATCCTGATTCTCCCAGATTAAAGTCTTAACCACTATACCAAACTGGAGAAATATCATGAACTCTCAGGTTATCTACATACATATAGTTCTTCTGGATCCTCTCTGTTCTGATGTCTGATGTATTGGCTATGTGAAGACAGAACATACTGAGTATATTAGAAATCTGGTGAAAACCATGGAGGGTCAGCCATTTTTAAGGAGTTAGCATGGTTTAGTGATTAAGAGCGGTGGACTCTAATCTGAAGAACCGGGTTTGATTCCCTACTCCTCCTCCTCCTCCTCATGAAGTGTGCTGGGTGACCCTTGGACCAGTCACAGTCCTCTCAGAACTCTCTCAGCCCACCTGCCTCTCAAGGTGCCTCATGTGGGGAGAGGAAGGAAAGGAGACGGTAAACTGCTTTGAGATTCCTTAATGTACATTAAAGCAGAGTATAAAAGCCAACTCGTCTTCCTCTTCTTTTGAAATACAGCTGTGTTGTTGAAATTACCTGCTGTTTTGGGATGACTTTCTCCAAGCTCTGTGATATGACTCTGGCTGCATTGCTAAACATATTTGCATATAAATGTATGTCTTTGAAATCAGTGGGTCTTGTTGCCTCGTATGTGTTTTGGCTGAAATGCAAATATGTGGAGCACAGATCTGCTTTGTGAGAGCTTATAAAAATCCATTAATCTACACCAGTTCCTGCAGCAACCATTGCAGGCTTTGGCCTTACTATTTATAGGGTGCTTTTTGTTTGGGTTGGGGGGGGGAGGGCTGGACTATCATTGCTTCCTCTCCCATTTCACAGACCACCTGTGATTATTCCTTGGGAGCATTGATTTGTTACTAGGTATTTGTGCTAGATATCAAAGTCAGATGCCTCAAAAAAAGATATGGAAAAAGTAAAAAGCCACAAGTGTGAACAATGCCACCTCCTTTTCTGTTTCCTTCTTTGTCAGAATATTGTCTTCAAGGACTGTCCATGAGGGGCTAAAGAGCCAGGAACTGAACTCAGCTGACACAGGTAAGAAGTATGTGTTCTGGGTTTCTAAAAAGTATATTACAGCCTATTTGTCCATCTACTAATGGGAAAGACCTGGAATCTTATCTAGGGGTACATTAATTTTTGCACATTACAAAGGACTGCTCATTATAAAGGAAGGAGGCTTCCTTTGTAATGGTGAAAGATGGGGCAGCATTATGGTTGAAATATTTTTTTTCTAGAATTCCATTCTTACCACTGAGGTTAAAATTTCAGAATAGTAGCATGGTAGTTCCATATATACTCCAGTTCCACCACTTCCTAAGATTTCAAGATGCTGAGGATAGGTTGTTCCCTAACAAGCATTCCCTGCTTGTACTTTGAACTTTTTCATTTTACACTGAGGTACTGCTTTTTGCTTTGGAGATAACTGTGGCAACTCTATAAATAAGAGCGTTTGACAGTAGAATTCCATTTGTGCCAGATGGTGAAATCTAATCATTTGCTAAACTGTTCAGTGAATGAATGTTGAATAAATACAACTGCTGGTGAAATAGCTACACCAATCTATCTGCACTTCCTAAGAGCTTATTGCATGGCTTACAATGCAGCAAGAATGTGTGTATAAGGCACTGCCTAATGAAAGCTTTGCACAAATGGAAACTGCTCGTTTTGGGATTTAATTGGTTTTTAAATGGAGAAGCATGATGTCAATATAATCCTGTCTCTTTATATGCAAGTTATAAACCTCTGGATTTGAGGGCTTGAATAGAAGCTTACTCTCAGCCAGAATGAAATGACTGTTGCTGTATCCATTTCCGTAACTATCTCATGTTACAGGAGACACTGACTTATTTTGCAAACTGGAGCAATATATAATATCTACAAGCCTTGCTTCAACATTTAACACATATATGTAGCAATGGGAGAACTGGTTTTCAAGGCAGAGATGAAGTTATCAGTATTTAAGATCAGTCATGTATGACTTTTAAATCACCAAGCCAAAAATGGGCTGCTTCTACTCTGTGATGGGGCTCTCGCTGATGCAATCACAGAGGCATTCACAGCAGCTATGGAGCACCCACATGGCATATTTCCTTGTTATAGTCTCCCCTGTGCTACCGGGGGCGGGGGTGGCTTTTTTGTTCCTGCATTGGTAGTTGTTAATTACCACTTAAGAACCACCACCACCCAAACCCCTCCCAACAGGCAGCAGGGAAAATGGCACTAATATTGGCAGGACGAGGAAAACTCTACATTATCCCAACTACATGGTATTCATGTGATACTTTGTGAACTTAAAAAAAAAAAAAGGTAGTAGCAAAGCGGTCTTAAGAATGACCACAGCAAATCAAGGAATGCTGGAAGGTACACAAGTATACTGTGATACAATGTAGAAGCTCTAAAAAGAACCCTGCTGGATCAGAACATCCATGTGGAAGTGACAATGATTTACCAGCCATGTATCATGGTCTTTGTAATATGGGTTTGAAATTTCAGTAATAAGAATGCCTGTGTGTGAAGCTGCTGTATGTTACTTTCCCTTACATAGTTTGAACGACCTTCAGTTGCTAATATTTCAAAGTGTTTGGATACACAGGGTATTCTGATTTTATTTTACTTTTCCAGTTGTATCTAACGGCAAATACTGCTGTCCAAAGATCTACTTCAATCATCGCTGCTTCTCAGGGCCATACCTTAATAAAGGTAGAATTGCAGAACTGCCACAATCTGTGGGACCTGGGAATTGCGTCCTTGTTCTTAAAGAGGTGAGAGCATTAGGAAAACACAGTCTGAAGCGCTATTAGTAACATTTCTCTGTGTAACACTGCTTATCTGTGTAACAATGGATGAAAAGTAAATCAATACAGCCTTCAGGGTAAGTACAAAAATGTGTATTGACTTGTGATATCATGTCCTAGCTTGCCTGTGCTAGGTTAAAGGATGTTAAAAAATTGAGATCAGGTGGGAGTAGCAGAAACAAATTGCTTGCTATATTCTCAACCTATGGATCCTAAAACAAAAATAACCTCCTTGACTGTGTTTGAGAAATGGTTTGCCTGAAATGGATTTCTCAATCTGAGTTCCATTGAATTTCTGAACAAAACATCATATGGCAAAGAATTCGGTTGGTTCAGGTTGGATTACTTCAGAAAATCCTTTATAGCCAGATAAGGATTACATAATATACTATTTTCCTACACAGGTATCCATTGTGTGCAACATGTACATTTTTACTATCACAAACACACAACTGCATGTTTACCGTGTGCATAAGTGGAGAAATACATAAAGTATGTTGCCATGTTTTCTAGGTGGCAGCAGTAATTATGTAGGAGAATAGTCATGTGTGAAGCAACTCAGTTATGCTAGCCAGTATTTATGGCATAATCCATTTTGCCTGCCCCTGAATCCCACTGTCAACTCAAGCCTTGGCATTCCAAGAACATCCTTTTAAAAATATTGATGGTTTTGTTTAGCAAGAAGCAGTAACCACAAATTGGGAGGCCTCAAAATTTTCTTAGAACAAAAAGAGCAGCAACATGCTGCAGTTTACATATGATAAATTCTGCCATATAATCTGTGCACGTCCTTCCCAAAATGGAGTGGTGGTGGTGGTGATGTCATATCATATGCAAAACTTTACTGTAGAAACTCAAAACAGAGAGATCTATTTTCCTCTTGTCTCACCGTGTTCCCAATATTCCTTCTCCTACCTTTCCTGTATTCTGCCAGAAATCTAGCTGAGGTCCAATTCTTACTGAGGCTATAAACCTATGTCTGATTTAACTGTGTCTGTCTAAATTTCAGTTCAAAGCTCCCATGTTGAACACTTCCCCATCTCCCCCCCTCCCAAAAAAAAATCAGTTGATAAAAAACAGAATTAAGCATTAAACCAAGCAATAACTTAAGCAAGTTAAAATAAAATGACATATAAAAACAGAGTTACAATCGGATCAAAACAAGATGGTAAGTATTCAGACAGTACTTAGCACCTCCTGGCAGACGCTAATTTGAAGGTAATTAATGGTAGTGCTCTACTGACACTTTGAGCAGGGCAAGTCATATCATAATGGGGACTACGAACGCTGCAAGTTTGAAAGTAACTTATGTTTAAGCTGTTTACCAAGCCTTCTGGTAAAATCCTGGTTCCTTTCGATTGTGGACTAACCAGGTGGATTTGGCTTTTATTCCAGATGTAACCAATGACCATACCATAGTTTTTAATAAAGATGCTATTATACTGGCCATTTTATTTTTGATTATCACCAGTCATTTGCTTGTGTATTTTATTTCTAGTATGAGTGAAGTGCTTTTCAACCATAATCATTCTCTAAGTGAGAGCAATGGTAAAAGCCATTGCATTGCTTTGATAATGAAGGCCGTCTCTTTTTGGAACACCAGGTGTTGTCTTAGATAAACTTAGATTGATGTCCAGGTGCTACAGCTTCTGGCTCTGCTCTCCCACCAGCAGTAGTAACCAGTGTTTAGGCCAGAGTGGGGAGCCTTCTTCCCAAGTGTATGATTAATTCTGGGAAAAATAAACCAGAATTAATCAATGAAGTTAATAAGTCATGTTAAAACCAATGTCTTCCTGGGCAAGCCATTTAATGTTTCCCTCTATTGTTACATTTTTTCCAGGTTCTCTCTCTGTTGATCAATGCTGCTTATAAACCCAGCCGTGTTCTTAGAGAAATACAATTGGATGAGGAGGCTACATGGCATGGATATGGAGAAACCCTGAAAGCAAAGTATATTGAAGTTGCATGGATTCTGTAACATTTTCATTGATTAATTATAATCCAGGAGCCCACTTGATAATATTTATGTTATTCTTGCTACAGGTATAAAGGGAAGAGCTATCGTGCCACAGTGGAAGTTGTGAGAACAGCTGATCGAGTGGCAGAGTTCTGTAGGCAGACCTGTATCAAACTGGAGTGTTGTCCAAATCTCTTTGGCCCCCAAATGGTGCTAGACAAGTGTTCAGAGAACTGCTCTGTTCTGACAAAAACCAAATACAGTGAGTAACAGTATTGCAGAGTGTGTGTTACTTGATCTAAAAAAATCCACATGAAAGTTTCTTGAATAGAACTTAGATTGTTAGCTGCTGAGAAATAGCATTGATGTTTTTTATTTTGCTTTTGCAAAAAGTATTTTGCAGTAAATACAGCCTGGTGTCCTTAAAGCTCATGGTCATAGCCACTTTATTTGTTCAGAAGAACCAGTATGCCAGGATCATACTAGTAATCCATGTTGACCTGTGTCCATCCAGTATCCATCCAGAGAGGTCATATAAAGTTAAGACTAACAGCACAGAGTGCTTGCAAAGTATAATTGTCCTTACCTATTATTTCATAAGGGCTGCTTTAATCTCGGTGTTGGGATTCCTTATTTGCTTCAAAGGAATATGTGTACCAACACTATTTGTGGAAAATAATGGAACAGTTCAGAATAACACCCAGTGTCTTTATAATTGATCATGAAAATTTCTTTCATGTGCCTTGGGGGGAGAAAGTACTGAATATGGTTTTATTTTGGCATCTAGCAAACTACTCACTGCTTAGAGTTACTTCCAGATGACTGTAACTGGTCCCTGGTTTAAAAAGAAAAGTCATACTATTTGTCATTTCTGGTTAAGCATTTGTGAAGTACTAGATCTTCCCTTTGTTCTCTGCTATCTCCACTGTCAAAGATAAATGCTTCATTGGCTACCGTTTGCTAGATCTCATGCCACTTCTTTTTTTCCTATTCTGCTAGCAGACAACTTTTGTTGTTGTACTAACTCCCTATGTTCAAACTCTTATTTTCTTTGTTTTCTTCCCCCCTCCCCATCTTTCCATCATGGCTGCTACACATTCCTCTCCTGCTATGTTTTAGCATATTTATACTTGGCTAATTGGACCCATAACAGGCACAGTTTAATTCCTCCTGTTTATCATTTTCATGGGGTTTATAACCCACACAAAGAGGAACCTGAGCCTTAACTGCTGTATGCCAAATACCAATATTGACATCAAAATGGTGGCTTCCCTCAAGCATGTCTGTGTTGGTGAACTGACTGTCCTACTACTAAATATATCCTGTGCTATTGATCATCATTTTTTGTGGATACCCATGCAGTATCTTCTAAATATCAAATGGCTTGGACTTACAAATAGCCAAATAATGCCTATTTGTAACCAGAATCTCTAAAGTCTCTTATTGCTGTGAACTAAGACACGATGATGACTCTTGAAGTTTCATGGCAAGAACCTGTTCTTTTAAATTCCTTTAGCCCATTACTATGGGAAGAGAAGAAACAAAAGGATTGGCCGGCCACCAGGTATCCACAGCAACATAGAAGCAAGCATGAAGAAGGCAAGCAAGAAAAGAAAGAAGCGGAAAAACTTCTTTGTTCATAAGAAGAAACGATCCTCTACCTCTGTGGATAACACACCAGCTGGCTCACCCCAAGTATGCCATCATAAGAGTGAATTTTAATGCATCCTCTCATAGATAGATATGGTGATTTCAGAATATGTTTTCTGTACCATTTCAGGGCAGTGGGGGTGAAGATGATGATGACCAGGATGAGGTGGATGATGAATCCCTAACAGAGGACAGTGCCTCAGATCACCAAGACGATCTGCTTGAAGAGTCTGAAGTGTCAGAGAAGAAATCACAATCCTCCTCACCAACACAGAGTGAGCAGTCACATTTTGTGGCTCAAGACAGGGACAAACGGAAAAGGAAGCTACGTACATTTTCTTTCTCAGATGATGAAAATAAGCCTCCCTCACCAAAGGTATGTCTGGCATTCAAAAAGAAAAAGTTCTTAACAGGGGTCTGGGTCATTCAGCCATTGATGTTCATTGAATTCTAGGCCCTATTTCTATTTAATTGTGAACTGGCAGTGTGTTCTTATGTATTTCAGGCATGCTGAATACTGAAAGCAGAAAGTACAAAATAATTTCTCCTGACAAGGAAGAATTATTAAAACTTTTCAAGGATGTCCTTTGAAACAAAATAACATAGCATTTGGCTGCATTCTGCTTACGTGTTGGGGCTGCTCTTGACCAAATCACATGCACACATCCACCCTCTACCTGTGATTGATCTTCTGACAGAGGAGCTCTTTATTTTTTAAGCCCCCCGAGGGGGGAATTTTTTATTTGCATTTCTATAAAACTACAACAGAAATTGGGGAGGAAAAATCTACAATCTATAGGAAAAAGTAAAGAAAACCTAACTAAAAACCCAAGAATGGAGGTTATACAATGCTTAAAACATAGTTATTACTCTTATACATTTGCTTTCAAACATGAAGAGTGCCCGCCAATCATCGCTTCTGTTGACAAAACCTGCTTATCTGACTGAACAGAGAGTAGTTCCAAAGCTATAACACAATAATTACAGCCCTTAAGAGAAGTTTAGCATCACCACGCTTTACTCCCCCCCCCAGGCATCTTTTAAAACCCAAAATCTTTAAAACCAATGTTCCCTCAGTAAGAACATTACAACACTTTTTTCTTCTTCTGTCTTCGATGTATCTTCTTTCTTCAATTATCTTTTAGTTTTTATAAGTCCGGATCTGTCCATTCATGGTATAAACCAAGTTCCTTTTTTCCTGGAACATCTTCGCTTCCTTCAATGTCTTAGATCAAAAGAGTCTTTCCTTGTGTTGCAATAACAACACACTCATTGGAGATTCCAACCTTTCTCTTAGCAAGCAGATCATATAAAGTTAGGGTAGCAAGCCCTTTACTCCAAAAAACCACTTTTCGATCAGCTTGCCAGTCCAGCCACAAAGAACTAAACTTAGAGCCTCCTTGCCATTCATACGTCTCTATGATCAACGTACTGTCCCTTTAAAAGTGTAGCTGCTTTTAGTACAGATCCAGATCGCTTCTCACTTAAGCCACCAGAGGGCCCACGATTCACTTTAAAGACAGAGTCTGTGGTTAGGTCACAACCTAACTTTCCACTGTCCTCCTTTCTGAAGAAAACATTGCTCCCGCCTCCCTCTTCGCCTCTCGTCACCATCTTTTGGGGATGTTTACATCAGCCGAGAAAGAATGCCAAAGTCTCTAAGGTCTGTTTAAACGCTCCGCTTTCTTTTAGAAAAACTCTCTGCTACAGTCCATCGCCACAGTTTGATCAGTCCCTCCCTCCTTGCTTTTGCATTTGCTTAAAATGTCGGGAGATAGGGTGTCCCCTCCCCCCCTTCGTTTGTACGCTTGTAGTGGAGGGACTTCACTTCTAGGCTTTAGTGTCTTGTTTCAATGACAACTCACTCTTCAATCCTTGAATCGATCACGCCAGGCAGAGAAAATCGCTAAACCTCCGAATGCTTGTTCCAGTGGTCGCTTCTAGTCCAGTACTGGGAATCAGGGTAGGACCTTCAGGGCAGAAAGTAGACCCCCTGTACCGGCTACTGGCCGGAGGTAGGGCTCTCCGAAGCCCATTGGCTATGGGCTTCATGGGGGAGCGTGCACCATCACGCTCCCTCCTAATCCCCGCCATTGTTTAAAGCGCCAAAGGCCGGAACCTGACAAAGGAACTCTCCATGGGTGTGGTAGGCTGTACATGGTGCCAGCTTGAGGCACTTGTTTCTTTGCAAGACTCTGAGCTTTTGCTCGGGTTAAAACATGCTGGTGCTAAATTCTTTGTTCCTCTGGGTTAGGTCAACCTTGACTTGCAATGAACAGTTGATTATTTAACATCATTTCTGGGAAATTGAGCTTGTTAAAGTCATATCAAATCATTTTAGAGTTTATAAGAAAATCAGAAACTACTTTTGATGCAGCTTGTAATATAGCACATAACATACTTTGTTTCAGTGTTTAATTTTTGGTGTGTACATGTTTACCTAGTTCAACAGTCTGAACAGTATTGTATATACAGTTACCAGATTAAAGGAAACATGCTTACTTTCCCATGAAAACTAAGTATCAATAGCAGAAATATAATTCCTTCAAGAGGGAATTAGATACTAACATATGGAGCAGAGATCCATCAGTGGCTATTAGCCACAAGATATAGATAGGAACTCTCAGTCTGGCACAAGTGATGCTCTGTATTCTTGGTGCTTGGAGGGGGGAACAGTGGGAGGGCTTCTAGTGTCCTGGCCCCACTGCTGGACCTCCTGATGGCACCTGGGTTTTGGCCACTGTGTGACTCAGAGTGTTGGACTGGATGGGTCATTGGCCTGATCTAACATTGGCTTCTCTTATGTTCTTAAATAAAGTTACACACCTTGCACTATATTGCCAAGCACTAGGGGAAAAAATGTAAGCTAGGGAGGGAATCCTGATTGTGCAGAAGTGGATGAACAATCCTAAGCAATGCACACAATATTGGGATAAGGTGGGAGTAGGATGCTGGAAAAGTAAGAGGTTTGACTGTGTGTATAAAAAAAATTGGTGCATTCCACTGAACAGCTTCTGGTTGCTTGGTTTTGTGGTATTCCCCCTCAAAATAGTACCTGATTTGTGGTACAGATTTGTGCTGCAATAGCAAGATATACACCTTTGTTACACTTGTAAGCTGGGGCCCTGAAATCACCCGGGGCCCTTTTTGCCGCACCGCAGGGAGAAAGGGGCAGAGAGGCAATCTTTGCTAGGCGGAGGAAGCGGGCCAGCAGCAAGCGTAGGAAGCTTGCACCCACCTGACCCGACGCTGGCCCTGTCAGAGAGTCTTGGGTGTTGGGGAGGTGGGGGTGCACTGGCTGTTATTAAAGGCACAGCACCGCCCTTCTCCGGGGTTCTTTGGAATGCTGTACTGGAGTACACAGACAACATTTCTTGACTCAGTTTAGTCAGTGCGCTCATCTTCCAGTTGTCAAAACAACTGACATGCAAAATGGTTGCTTCATGGTGTGGGACACGCTTACTGATAAGGAGTTCCATTGGGGAGGTTTGTGGAGAAAAGAACAGAGTGTATGTAATATTTTTGCTTTGTGTTTGGGGCTTTTGGAACAGGAAATCAAGATAGAAGTTGGTGAAAAGCTGCAGCTGGATAGCAACCCTTTGGAATGGAGTGTAGCTGATGTTGTGCGATTCCTCAAATCCACAGACTGTGCTCCATTAGCTAGAATATTTCTGGATCAGGTAATATGCTGTGTTTCACTAATGATGATTGCCAATTAAGCAGATGAAACTAGGTTATCTTGCTAAAAAGAAAGGGAATGGCATCTATCTCCATGATTTTCTATCATGGCAAATATCTGGCCTTTATGATCCCTTTATTTATGATCTATGAATAATATGTTGCTCAGCATTTTGTAAACTGGTTTGTTTGGTTTCAGTTGCATAGCAACTCTACCACTTTTCAGTGCATCATGATGGATGCATCCAGTTCAGTATGGAACTGCACTTTTCTTTTTTTTAAAAAAAAATGAGAAAATGCAGTGAACTTGTGGTTGAAACCAGAACTAAGCAGCAGAAAGAAAGCAGAATATTCTGACCCACACTTTGTTGTTGTTGTTTTTGCTGTTGGCAGGAAATAGATGGGCAAGCCCTTCTCCTACTTACTCTTCCTACTGTTCAGGAGTGCATGGACTTGAAGCTTGGCCCAGCCATTAAACTTTGCCATCACATTGAAAGAGTCAAATTTGCCTTCTACCAGCAGTTTGCTAACTAAGGGGGGGCAGCAAGTTGAACCTGAATTCTTGAAGCACAACTGCAGTCTCCTGCTCTTCCTTCAGCAGGGGAAGCCAAGGAAGATCCCATGGAAACTGCTTATAAACTGGCATTTGCAGCCTTGCACTTTGAGAGAAGGAAAAAGACTCCTGGAGCAAAATGTTAATGCAATCCTGGCTGTCTTCACAAATGCTGCTCGTTTTGTCCATCAGAGCTTTTTCTTCTAAGAAATAAAGGTGGTTTGAGGTCTCTCCTCTGAGGGGAGAAATATTATTTTCTCGTTATGGTCTGGAAAGAGCCAAACTGACAGCATGTGCAAGGGAATGCAATTTGGTGGAAATCACAGAACTGTCCCTGTTTTCTTTGTATTAAAATGATACTTTAAAAGGAAAGCTTAGTGTCCAGGTAAGTGGGGTGGCCAAAAACCTAAAAATGAAAAAGTACAGTCAAATTTTATTTGTTTGTGATCTTATTTTGCTTTCTACCTCTGCGACCTGAGAGCGCTACAAGGGAAATAAATTATTTTGGAAAGGTCCTGTATGGCTATGCAACAGGTGTTTTGCCGAAGTGAGGATACTGGCTCTGTTTCTCATGACAGAGGCTCTGTGCCTTTAATAGGCATAGTTTCCCCTGTTACGGAGAAGGTTAAGCGTGTTGACGTTTGTACCTGTCACACTGCTGTTAAAGGCACAAAGTTAGAAATTTAAGCATTAGCATATGGTTCTGCTTTCAGCTAAACAGCTGCAGAGAAACAGTAATGTCTTCATTAATGCAATTTGTTCTCCTTGAAAAGATTTTAATAAGATCCTGTTCTTGTAGGGAAAATGAAATGATAATGGGGATGAAGTTTTCTCTCTTGTAATAATTTGTTGGAAATGAAAATGAAATTATAATGGGAATGAAGTTTTCCCTCTTGTAATAATCTGTTGGAAAACTGACCTTGCATATGTTGAGGAGGGATAAATAGAAAAGTACAGCTCATGCCAGTTCTCAGATATGAGTTTCTCCAGATAATTGTAGTTGTTTCATAAAAGCACGGATATAATGGTTTTCCCCTCTTCTAGTTAAGTATATAATGGAACATCACTTGTGATATCCTTTGTGGCACAGTTCATGCCATACATGTAACTGTGGGTCCACATTGGGAGATGGGGTTCCATGATTCTCCACATAACTTCTGTGGCTTAATATACAGAAGTCAACAGTCTGTTTTCAGTTTCATGTGCTGATGATTAATGCTTGTCCATAGAACAGGTTCCTGCCATTGCAACAACTTTTGGTTGCTGCATACCTAGTGAAGAATTTCAGGTTTTGAATTCTGTAGAGTGGTTCAAACTGATTAAGATCCAGGTTTTTGCATCCCCCCCCCCTGCTGAGATATCTTTTCTGCCCATTGTATGTGTGTTAAACTTGAAACATATTTTGGTCACTTTGATCTCTGGATACCTGGGATTTACAGGTTGAAACTTGCTGTATTTCTGGGGATGGTCTGGGGACATACATGAATGTTTCTGTTTAGGAAGAAGATGTCTTAAAGGAACCGCCCTTTAAAAGAATTTCCTATCTATATGAGATCCTAGAATGTGGCTGCTGAATGATTCTCCACAGCTTTCATACTTCAGGTTTCAATCAAAGTACATTTAATACATGGAATGCTATGTAAATTATCTCATAAGCTGAGTTTGTGCTATATTTGTATACTTAAGTTCGTACTACTCAGCTGGCCATTTTATTATAAGAAATGCACTTTGTGTGTGTCTGAACACCTCTATTTGGCATAGGGGGAAAATTTGTTTCCCCATCATTCAACCTCAGTGTATCTTTTGCTCTGATAAATGGGCAGCTGTTAGATATCTTTTGACAAAAAATAATCCTAAAGGAAATCATAAGACCTTAATATAATACAAACTTTTTTGTCTAAGGTTTTTCAGGGTTTTTTAAGTAAAAATTTCATAGTTCATGCATTGCTGTAAATAAGTCACCTGTTTGAGGCCAGTGGATTAGGTGCTGGCTCTCTGGGCTATATTTATAAGCTGATATTTCTGTCTTGCTTTAGCAGTTTGGTCCCAGTGGGATCCATTTAGAGAGTTTCAAAAACAGAGATGCTTTTCATTGTTACTTTTAGTAAGTCATTTCTATGCAACACACGGGTACTTGGATTTCTTGAGGCAATTTTTGTGGACTGGAGTGTAAAGGGTTTGACACAATCTACAAAGCATTCACTTCCTTAAATAGTTCTGAAATATTCTCATACTTCAGTAAAAATGTAACTTCATCTACAAAACCCTTCATCTCTTTTCATTTATTGCCCAAATAGTTTCAATTGGAGTCTTATCTGACTTAGTACTGATATGACATTTAAAAGGCTCTTGTGCTATTGTAGAGGAGTAGGGTAAAGTCTGCAAAGTTAGATAACATTGTATATTTTTTACTGTGCCAATGATATTCTCACTCTGAGAGAGTGACTGCACACCCCATTGGCTTTAAGGTCTCCAATATACCTTTCCCAAAGTAGAGAGCAGGAAAAGGTAAACATAATTTTCATGTCTCCATGGGCTAGCAGTTACACCAAGACCTACATTAAGATAAATAATTATGTACTGCTAACTTAGATGTGGGCAATAAAGCAGGTTTTCCTCATGACTGGCTCTTTAGAAAACTGCAGTTTTCTTGAGGAGCTAAAAAAATACTAACATGTAAAATCGGTCCATATTAAAACATATAGAGTGTTTCACACTACTAATAAAAATTGAGATGGTCCTGGACTTAACTCACTGAGTATAGGTACCACTTCTATAATGCTTCGAAAAATTTTAAAGGCTTAATAGGAAAGAAAGAAAGAAGTCACTAATATGTGGTGCTTGTACCAAATTCTAGATTTGAAAAGGATGGGGCTTGGGGAGAGAATTTGACAATGTTATAATTTCTATATCTGTCATATTTAAATCCTAGTATGATAATTGAGCCATCAAGGGGAACCTTAATTGTCCCCATCCCATAAATGCTTTGCAAGAAGACAGAATTAGTCAGTTACTAAATTGATAGCAATATATTGAATCATTTACTTACTGAATCTAGCACATCTTTTTCATGCAGTGTGCAGAGATTTTGTATGCATTACTTGCCAAAGGCTAATAAGCTCAAAGGAGTTTAATAGTTCATGAGAAGTAGAATATTTCGTAAATATGCCATATTGTGAAGTTTAACTCCAGAATAGGCAGTGCACATACTTGCCTCTGCCTCTCTGTAAATATTGTGAAGTTTTATTAATTTCATACAAAATGTGTTGCCAAATGTCAGTCTACCAAGAACGAAGATTAATGTTTTAAACAAAGCAATTCTTAGCAATTTTCAGCTTTGTCTAAGATTGTTGCCTACTGTGAAAATTTTCAAAATACCCAAGATTTTTTAGCACAAAGGAATCGCCTTTGCCTGAAAACCTCATAAGTGTAAGCTTGCTTGCTAGGAACTTGTGCTGACATTTTAACTTTTACCAAATCATTCATATGTGACCTTGTTTTCAAGGCAGCATTATTGGGGGGGGGGGAGGTTGGATGGATTTTGATCAGTGATGTTAACTGTATGCGTGCAGTAATCTCTCCCTTACACACCCTTGATCTATTTATGGCAGATAGGCTGTTTAGTGAACACTGCTACTGTCAATTGCTCTCTATATCCTATCTGAAAAGTAACAAAACTGGGGAGACGCTGTTAGTACAATGGCTATTCCATTTTAGCTACTTGCTCATCAGAAACTGCAGACAGTCCTTGCACTGCAATCTATTGGATCAATCAAATATCAGCAGTAAGGAGCTGAACATTAAAGAAGGCAGCCAGTTGCTTCTTCCAGACCCCAAGAGTCATGGCATCAAATGCATAGAAGAAGTACTGACCAGGTGGGACTTAAGTGACTGGGTAGAACTAATTAAAAAGATGAGTTTTAGTAAAGAATTTGTCCCTTTAGCCATAATTTGGGAAATCTCCTGGGACAATTACTTTGAATATATCTGTTGAGGCTTCATGTCTGTCATCTGCCACTATCCTGTTTTACCATCGCCTAGCATACACATGTGTACATCCATTCTTTCCATCCTCTAAACCAGCGGTTCTCAACCTGTGGGTTGCGACCCCTTTGGGGGTCAAACGACCCTTTCACAGGGGTCGCCTAAGACCATCTGAAAACACAAATTTTCGATGGTCTTATGATAGCAACGAAAATAATTTTATGGTTGGGGGTCACCACAACATGAGGAACTGTATTAAAGGGTCGCGGCATTAGGAAGGTTGAGAACCACTGCTCTAAACCAATTCTGTTGATGTTTACAGACAATCAGAAATCTCTTGGAAGAGCTCCTCAGGCAGGTACTGCCAGCATATATGTAGATCTGTTTGTTGTAATAGCTCATTGGACATGCACTTTTCCCTGCTTTGTTCTTTTTTATTTTTTAAAGAATTTTAAAATGTATATTGTGTTGCTCCTCCCGCTTGCTGTATTTTTCTTTGATTTTAATTAATATATATAAATATATATATATATATATGCATGCATTAAGTGTAAAATATAAAAATGGAGAAATATGCACATGAAAATATGCTCTTTTGCTGGATTAGGTGTATCAGTTAAAGGGTTTTAAAATATTTTAGATTATTTTGCTTGTTCTCTTTCTGTAAAAGAATGTACATAATTTTGTGGTACTTCATGACCGTTTTAAGTGGTTGTAAGAAAATTAAAAACACTTAAATTGCTGCTGGCTTCCTTTTGTGTCAATAAGTTGAATATTGTTCCATGTCTTTGGGAAAGAATGGACTACTGTCGTCACACATAACAAGCACTTGGGGCCTAAAGAAGGGAAGTTCCAAGTATTTTACAATTGTCCCCACTTCAGCAACAAACTTGCACTGTTCAATAAAGTTTCTCTTCATTTTAAATCCCTCAGACAGTTATGTTTGCAGACTTCCAGTGCCCAAATTCTTGGTTGCAAATTAATCACTGATGGTTAC